AGGGTTTCATACATGGAGACAAAGCTTCGCGAATGTTGGAATTCATATAACTGCTATACTATATTTGCATGTATATTATAAACATTCTACAAATTTCTTTGAAGATTTATAAGGTATCTAATGAGACCGCATGAATAACTATTGGATATTGATAAGCCTCTAGATGTTGCACTTGCTCAACCATTTAACAGTATACCTACATAGACGCAGCATCAAATGTCTAGATGGAAAAGATGGAGCCAAACATTTATAAGTGTATATCCAATATTCTGATTTAATATATGTTAACTTGTGAATATCCAATTATTGATCAATTGTGATCAAATCGGATTTGTCGGATCCAAATGGATCTGATAAAATCAAGATTTGCTAGGTTGTTAAGTATTTGCTAGACGTGGAAAATGCGTTCCTGAATAGAAAACTTGAAGAAGAGGTTTAAATGGATCCTCCTCTGGGTATTGAAGAAAGGTATAGAACTAGAGTGTGTAAGCTAAAGAAATCTCTCTACAAGCTCAAAACAATCTCCAAGAGCTTAGTTTAAGAGATTTACACAGTTTGTGAAAAAGACAAGGGTACACTCAAGGGCAAGAAAATCATATGCCATGTTAATTTGACCTTCACTTGAGGGAAAGACAACTATCCTGATACTGTAGGTTGATGATATCATAGTTATAGGAGAAGGGAGTATGGTGTCGCAAAGGAAGTATGTGCTTGATGTTCTGAAAGAGAGGACAGGGATGAGTTGTTGTCATCAGCTGAAACACCTATGGATCTGAATATAAAATTCGAAAATAAAGAAGGAAATTAAATTGGAAAAAGTCAATATCAGAGACTAGGGGGAGGTCGATCTACATGTCACACACTTGGATTGATAAAGCTTTTGCAGTAAACTTAGTCAGTCAATTTAACTTTCCTAAGGAAGAGCAGCAAGAAGCGGTCTACAGGATTCTAAGATATCGGAAAAGTTCACCAAGGAAATGATTGTTTTTCAAGAAATATGACCAAAGGGGCACTGAAACCACTACAATGCAGATTGGCAGGTTCCACTGCCGACAGCAGGTCTATGTCGGGATATTATAGATTGATTTGGGGAAATTTCGAGACATGGAGGAGTAAAAAAAGGAATGTTGTAACCCACAGCAGTGCAGAAGTTGAATACCGATCTATGGCACATGGAATCACTGAGATGATTTGGCTCCAAGATGATATGGAGGAATTGAAAAATAGATTTATCCACCAATGAAGCTGTATTGTGACAATAAGGCCATCATAAGCATTGCTCACAATCCAATCCAACATGATAGAAAAATGCATGTTGAAGTGGTGTCACGACCCAAGCCCATGGCATGTATTATCCACTTTGAGCATAGGCCCACATGGATTTGTCTTTTTTTGGGCTACACCACCTCGAGCCCAAAAGCGCGCATACCAAGTAAATTTAACTCATGCCTTATATAGCTCTTCATTTTCCTTTCTCATTCCGATGTGGGATTCGCCTAAGGTGACATGTGCACCCCTTCTTCAGAAGCTTGCCAGCCTAGAAGCCTGCTAGTCCTGCTGACCCGCCCTCATCAGCCCGCCCTCCGTCATGGGTATCACATTCACCCCCCTTGGGACCCAGCATCCTCGCTGAGGTTTGGCTCACCATCGTACCGAGGGAGATTCGGCTCTAATACCATATTTCTCACGACCCAAGGCCATGACATATATTGTCCACTTTGGGCCTAAGCCCACACAGATTTGTCTTTATTTTGGCTATGCCACCTCGAGCTCCAAAAGTGCACGTATCATGTGAATTTAACTCATGCCTTATATAGCTCTTCACTTTCCTCTCCCATTCCGATGTGGGATTCGCCTAAGGTGACATGTGCACCCCTGTTTCAGAAGCTTGCCAGCCTAGAAGCCTGCCAGTCCCACTTGAGTCGCCCTCATCAGCCCGTCCTCTGTTATGAGCATGGATAGGCATTTCATAAAAGAAAAGATTGAAGATGCAAGTGTGCATGCCTGTCGTCCCAACATATCATGCAAATTGTGGATATTTTCAGAAAAATCTTATTTAAAATAGATTTTGAATTTTATGATAGCAAGTTAGGCATGACAGAGTTTTACATGCCAACTTGAAGGGTACTGTTGATTTTTGAATATTCAATTATGATCATTGTGATCAGATCGGATTTGACAGATATTAATGGATTTGATAAAACCGGATCTGATAGACTATAAATTATTTTAGGATAAAAACATCCCTGGATTCTCAAGTCTCCCGGAATTAAGGAATTAGTTTCATAGTTTATTTTTATCCCTTTTCTATAAATTTATACCTCTTGGCTCTATTACAGATGAATACTATAGAGCACTTTTAGTACCAAAACTTAGAATATATCTAATTGTACAAAGAAATCATTAGTAACATTTTTGTTCTTAGATTCTCAATTATTCATTTGATATATCCAGTTGTACAAGAAAACCATTAGATTCTTACGGAGCTATTGAAGGAAGCAGGTACATAGTAAAGTTCACTGATCCAAAACAAAGAATTCCATTAGTGTATGATAGCATTAACTATTGGGCTCATATATGTAATAACAGATTAGGCCAATAAAAGGATAGCCTAGGCTACCCAGAGCCCAAAATGAACTCACTTACGTTTACCTATAGCCCTACATGATGTTAGAAGATGGAAGTCTAAAAGACAGTTTGCGTTATCAACCTAACAAATCCCCCCTCCTCCTTCCCCTTTCCCTACCCACCCCCCCCACCCCCCAAAAAAAAGGCTAAAAAGGCCGCAGACTATCTTCACCAATCTCCTCCGCATGAACATATACACGTGACTCATAAAATGCTACCACTCTCTGTGGACACAGATATACGTCACTGATAAAATGCTACCAATTATGTTGCTTAGAAACATCAATTATATTGCTGGAAGCCAGTGATCAAATACATATTATTATTACGTCTTTAATATTCACTTAGAAATTCGTGATGTAAAAGCATGGCTTCAAGGTCCAACTCTTTTTTTCCCCTAGAAAATTATGAGGCACAAATGTAGAATCGAATGTCCAGTTAAAAATAGCTATTCAATATTCATAGCATTCCTTAGTTTTCCTCAAATTTAGTTGTGTGGATGGGAATTTAATCATTTAATTTTATAACATAAAGAAACGAGCACTGGGCAACAGAAAGATCCCAGAAACAAAGAAGGGACGCATACCTGGAAAAACAACTTCCTGTGGTAACTCTCAGTTGGTGGCATAAGGGCATCTATATAGACACGTTGATCAAGTCTCCAAACTCGTAGGTAGTTAAAAAGTTCTGACAAATCGTCAAGTGCCTTGCGGGTGGTTTTGTCTACATTAATTAACCCAAAAATAAGTCGTCCTTCATGCAACTAATAGAAGTGGCTAAATATGGAAACAAACAATAATGTACCAGGAGGAAGAGCTCCCCTTAATCGAGGAAGAGCATGGTCTGCAACTCCACAGAACCTCAACCCCACTGTTTGTAATCTATTTACAGCAGTTTCTGCAAGATTGAGTTCCTGAAAACAAAAAGATGGAAGCCCAATTTTTCCAATCACAGATCCAAATAAAATGCCATTATGTATAAAATCCTGAGGAACTTGCTCTTTCACCTACGGAGAATAAAGTTCACGAAACATCAAAGCAGGCCCTACAAACTGAAGAACAACTTCTGGTCTTAAATTGCTTCTACCTCATACTGAAAAAGCTTAATTCAAGGAAATTTCTTTTGGAATGACTATGGCACACACAAGTACAAACAATACTTATTCCTTCCTAAGGCTCTTATTTCTGATGAACATTTTGGTTTTGGGTATTTTTTTAACATAATAAATTTGTTGATGTTGTGAGGAAACCTCGATAACGAAGAGGTATACAAAATTTAGAGGTCCTACAGAAAAATATATATCTCTGCAAATGACAACCGATTATCTACACAAATGAGGACCACATGGGAGCACCAAAATTTACCGAGCCAAAAGATAAGCCCTCAATACAAAATTAATTTTCTTCCCCTCAAAAGCTCTCTTAATAGAATGTGGTATCAGGTATTATAGTAGCGTAAGCATTTCAAGGGTGTCATTTGCACTTCAAAACAAATTTTGTACAAGAAACCCAATACTAAGGTAAGTTATAAATATTCACAGTCAGTCAAAGATGCGATAACCACTTTTGTGTAGTTTTACCTTCACATTCCATAGAAATCTCTACATAGAGTCTACAGCCCCTACCATGTTTTTGAAGATTCAACGGCTTAATGATGTAGGTAATGAGGACATCGGTATTGCTTAATATAAATCAATTAGTCAGAAATAAAATAGAGATGATTTAATCTTAGAGATAGATTTTATCTTCTTTTTTTAAAACTTTGGGTTATTAGCAAGAAAATAATATAGATAATCTTACCTTACACATGAGATTCATCAAGTCTTTCCCTTTTATTTAAGGAAGGCATAGAGAGTCTTTCCTTATAGTCAGCGATAGAGTTCTAATAGTTTTAGTAGTCCGTCTTAATTCATAATAATCCTATGAATAGGAAAGCAGTGTACTTTGTTTGGAAGAAATTACTTGAATAATACTTTACTTGATGAATAATACATTATCAAATGATCTCTCTCTATGCCTCCCTTATTCTTTTATATCATTTCTCCATTTCTCTGTTCTCCTATTGCACCCTTCACTGTCTGGTGGTACATTACTTATGTTTGTTTGTAACAACCCGACCCTTAATTTCGTGCATTATGATTTAATTTGTGTTTTGAAGCATTGAATAAGTTCATATAACTATATGGGACTTGTTGGGATGGTTGGGGTTGAGACCGGGGAGCTTGGGGTGATTTCGTACATGTTAGAACCCCAAATCAGCAAACCTGAAAATCTGATATCTGGTGCAGGCATGATCACGCTGCACCAGGCATAATCACTGTCATTGCCTCCCTTACCACACTGGATACCTAATGTCAGCTGATGTCACCTTCTATTAAACTCAACCTTATTTCACATTTTTTCCTTCTAAACACCTAGGAATCTATGAGGTTCTACCTGTCTCATCTTTTAGAAATTCTATTGTTAACACTACCCTGCATTAAGTTTGAACGATTCACATGTAGAACCAGATCCTTTACGTGCTTAAACCTGCCTCCTCCATGGTCTAGTATGCCAGAAAGGTTCTTTCTACTCATAATCCTCATCCAATTTATACCATTCTACGTTATCATCACATATCATTATTCCATTATGCCTTTGTGTCATCCTTGTCAGATATTTCAGCTCCTAACACTTCGTTTGGTTCATTGTTCCCCGTCGTTTTATAATGTATTGTATTGTATTGTATCGTATTGTACCGTATCGTATTATGAATACAATGTTTGGATAGATTGTATTGTTTGTTATTGTTAAATAATATTTTGCTGTTTGGTTTGACTGTATCGTACTGTACTGTAACTAATAAGTTTACTCGGATGTAGCTGGAATAATGCAAAACGATAATTATCTCACCAACACTCTGATACCATGTGAGAAATAGCATGGGTAAAATATTATTGATTCATTCCTTAACTATACAAAGAGCCTTATTTATGTCTATACATAGTACATAATCTGCATATTCTAATGTGGGACACTCAACCCACTATATACATAAAACTATGTAACACATCGATTAGTGGACTCGTCTAAGATGATAAGCTCTCTCGTGTGGCTAAGATTGCTTCCATCTTTCTTTTTGTCCATGGCTATTGTTAAAGAAATGCTCATTGGACCTAACTCAACCCCAAAAGCAAGATCAAAAGGTGAGGATTGACCTCTTTATCAATTGGATATCAATAATTCATTCCTTTCACATGGTTCTAGAGGATAAGGTATACAAGGAACAACAATCAAGATTTGTTGATCAAGGGGATTCTAATAGGCATAGGCTGGTCTGTTGATTACGTAGAACACCCTATGGTTAAAAGCAGACCTTTATATACGGTTTGGTATATTTAACACAATTATTCAAGACTGATAGTGAAATCATTCTCTATCCTATCGACATTATGCTCCAATATGTACATGTATTTGGTGGTTTATTTGATCATATAGCTATGATAAGTAATAATTAGGAGAGCATCGCTAAGTGGAAGCATCATCTCTTTCAACATTTTCAGACCAAGGATTTAGATAAGTTGAAGTACTTCCTGAGTATTGATGTCGCTCATATTCTAAAGGAGACACAGATGACAGAATATAGCCTCTTGACTTACCAGAGTGATAAGATTGTACTAGGTCAGGGGAAACTTCTATTCTGAAAGATACAAGATTAAGAGGTTGGTTGGCAAGTTAAATTATCACGATATGACACCATGTGATACGACCTGATAATGCATTTCCGGTTAAGTTGCTCAGACACCGGTGCGGATCTAGAGGTCAGATCCTTCGGGATGTAAATTCTAAGATTCGGGAATACGGATTCTAGTAAGGATACGGATGCGGGGATCCGACTAAAAATAATTCAAAAAAATAAAAATAAAAAAATACCTCTAAATTATGAGAAATTTTGTAGAATACTTACGTATGGCTTGTAAACTGTGGGTTTCTTTTTTATTCTGTAGAAAAGTAAAGGATTGATTTCCTAGATAAGGTATGCTATTTTCTTCAAATTTACCCTAGTGCTAGTTCGGCTTTCGGGAATCACATTGTATCTCTCGTCTTGAATTTTTCTGCCCGCCGTGGTCAAAGTACATTGTTTGACCAGATCCGGTACGAATCACATACCCACACCATACTAGTGTCGTGTCGACACGGGTGCAGCACCTAAACTGCCGTGTCGGAGAAACTTAGATATCCGGTGAATTTTGTAAATAAGTTTTTGAATTCTCTGTGTAATACTCATTGGAATGCATTGATTTGTATCCTATTGGTACATGGAAATGGATAACTTCTTAAGGATCAAAGACATGAGTAGATTGTTGGGTACACAGGGTCACCCTCTGACGGACGATTTAATTTCAGATACTACATTCTGGTTAGAGACAATTTAGTGTCTTGAAAGAGTAAGAAACCAGATGTAGTTGTAAAATCCAATGTAGAAGCAGATGTCGTATTTTAGTAGTCGCAACCTGTGAATTCACATATATCAAAAAATTGGAACTCCGAGATGTCAGTTAGATGGAACTTGTGTGTGATAATCAAATTGCACTTCATATTACACCAAATCTGGCATCTCATAGAAGGTCCACCCTCATAGAAATTGATGATCATTTTGTCATAGATATGGTAAAATCGTTAAACATTATGATATAGTTCATAAAGTTGAATAATCATCTTGTACATATATTCAACAAGTCCCTTGTCAGACCTTCAACTAATTATATTATGCAGCAAGTTCGGTACACACAATTTGTATGCACCATAATTGGACTCCTTTTTTAATACATGCGTATATCACCAATTTAACCTCGTTCAAACAGCAGCATAGCGTGCATGCGGCCCAGGACATCTAAGAACATAGCACAAATCCCCAATAGCTTGCAGGCATAATCACATGTATCTCATTTTCCACAAAAGATAGCATAAAGCAACAACAGTTCTAGAATCTTATAAAAAACAGTGGTCTATGACAAAATATATCACCTGTCGAAGTTGTCGCCTGATGACCACCCATTTCGTCTTTCTTTCAGAAGATTGAGGGCGCAAGGAACCCAAAAGGGAAAGAAGCTTCAAATATGGGAAAAATAGATTAACACAAGCATCCAAGTGAGTTCAAAGACACAATAAGCTAGGTATCTTGACATGGCACTTTGATTCCATACCTCTGCAACTTTTTGTCTGTGTTCTGGTCTGATTCCTGCCCAAGCCCAAATTGCGTCCAAAAGATCCGCATGATTCAAATGAATATCACATGATTCAGAATGGAAGTAATGAAGAATAATGTCCATTGTGGCCTGTATTAAAAGGAAATAAGTAGGATGCAGGATGTATCTGGATCACAAAGCATTAAACCAAGTGACTCAAGCTCAACAATGGAATATCAACCATGAAAATGTAGGAAATCTCTTTACATTGTATCTCTGATTAGGAATTCGGGATTCTTCGCCTACAGGAAAATCAATCCTCTGAGGCTTTGGAAATGAGTAGAGTGGAACAGGTCATGTTTCACAAAATTGAGGCTAACAGCACAGATGCAAATACGAGTGTCTTACCTTAATTATTTCTGACTCAGTTAAAGCTGTTTCCCCTCCAATAATATCGAAGTCCCCCTACAGTTCAGTTAATAACTATTAAATGAAATTATGAACTAAAATATCCAGCATTTCTCTATTCACTCAAAAGAAACTATGGAAGAAAATTAAAACCTGCAGATATCGGTTTGGGGGTGAATGGCCAATCGCTCGCCGGTATACATATGATATTTCATAGCGTTTAAAGAATGATCTCTGACAAGGATTAATGTTTAAAAAATGTAAGTAGATGCTTCACAGCAGTTACACTTTTCTTTTCTTTTTTTTGTCATAAATCAAAGCAGAGTTTTCAATATGATTCAAATGCCAGGTCTAAAAACCATATAGATGTGCTATCTTTTTAACACTTCAGTCAACTATACTAGAACCTTTAAGAATGAATACATTTCTGACAGGGCAATCTTCCCATTTTATGTGAAAGTATTTGACTGGACACGGAGTTTAAGAAAGAAAGAAAGAAAGACTAGTGCTTTTAATCATGCCATGACATTTATTGGCTATAAAATCGTGACATTAAGGGTAAAATGTAAAAGTGGGTCTGATGGAGCTTTATTGGATTAGATAACATGGGGAAAAATTTCTTCTATCAGGATGTAGATATTAGTGAGAGGACTCATAAGGACATCCCGGGAAACTAGATAGGTTTCATCGGCAGTGCATGGTTAAGAGCTCAAAGCCAAAAATTGTGTTTTGATCTGTAAAAACTTTTAGTTAAGTACGTTAGAAGCCTGTTTCTTTTGACAACTATGAGCTGTAATTTTTTGCATTTTATCTTCTTGTTTGTCAATACTTTTTCTTAATATTTTGCTCATAAGATTCGTTCAATCTAATTTATACACTTTTATATTTTCCTTTTATTTACTTACAAGATGATTGCCATTCATCATAATTTTAAAGTTTTTTCTTGTATTTTGAGATCTATTTTTCAATTTCTCATCACTATGTGTCAATAGACCTTCCAGGAATTCTTATTTGCGTTGAATGTGGGGTCTTAGTATCTGGGTTTCTCTTTCTTTTTTTGTTGTTGTTTAGGGATGGGGGGGGGAAGGAGTTGGCGGTTAAGATTCAAGAGTGCATAGCCACTAGCCACGTTAGATCATGCACTGAATTGAATTGTTGGACAAGTTAAAACAGCAAAACATCAGAAAGCAAATCATAAACAAATGTATTTAATGCTTAACCTGGCATGAAGCACAAAAATAAGACAGATGATAAGCAAGAGCAGGGGAAAACATGTGACATAAATAAAGAACAAAAACCGTAATATACAATTTTAGTGATGAACTCAAACTGCCATTATTCACAGAACAGTCCTAAAAAGGTGACCATAAACTAAGTAATTATATTTCAAGAGTATATACAAGTCAAGATATAATAAACAGTGTTTTAAGAGTTCACAACAACTACAAAAAATACGCCTCAATGCAAGCTAGTTGGAGTCAACTATATGACTCCTCTATATCTATTCCACTTAAATCTATACGGTTTAAGAGTTCACAACAGCTATATGCGTACAATAGACCCTTGTGGTCCGGTCCTTCCCCGGACCCCGCACATAGCGGGAGCTTAGTGCATTGGGCTGCCCTTTTAATAATTTGTTTTTCAAGAAAAATTATGTGTTCTATACAAGTAGGGATTCTCTAATTGGAGATTTATCCCTACTCTGCAATACATGTCTCTAATCAAATTAAGAAGGCTCCTGGAATAATTGAACCTAATGTGAGTGCACTAACAACAAATAAACCTTGACCCCAACTAGTTGATAACACCTATAAGGCTACTTTGCTTCCAAAAGTATTAAGACTTTCAAGGTAAGAAAAAATACCTCTACAATTTCTAAGGGAGGTGAACATAGGCAAGAGAAGCAACAACTATTGAATACAGTTCCAAAAATTATGAAATCAGTCAGAGAGCTGATAAGGTACCCGATTGGCAATTATCCATTTCACAAAAGGAAGTCGAAGTTCATGGCAAAGCTCAACCACGTCTCCTCCATGAGTCAAAAGCTTAACAGCACTTCTTTCTCGACTGAATGAGCAAAAATGAATTGAGAAAAAAAGAAGCAAATGACAACTTAAAGATTTAAATACATAGAGAAGGCCAGAAGGGTAAGATTATATCAAGTTAATGGGTAGGTTGACACCTATTCTCCTGTGGACATTCACCAAGCATTCGCATGGGTATGATCTCCAAATGCTTTGCACAATGTCGTCTGAATACTTCTGTGGAAATCTCGACGACATTATCGCGCCTTTCAGTCTGTAGATCAGTGAACAGAATACATGAGGTATCCCTTCCAACCACCTTCGAACTTTCAAGATTCGTGTTATGGCCTTTTGTGTTTAACGTGTCTTCATTGAAAATGGCATTTACAATTTTATCATAAACACCAGTGTCATCTGAAATGTGAACTGTCCTAAGAATATCTGCAGTGCAGGAAAAGAGAAACTTACTCAACAAAGATAGCAACCTACTAAACCAAGGAGAGTTTTAACCCAGTCCGTGGTCTATACAGAAACAGTTTTGGATCAACTTAAAAGGAAAAAAAAAAGTGAAAGCTGGAAATACGGGAAACCTGGACCTCATAATAAGAACATATAAAACTGGCCACAAAGTGTAACTGGGTTAAAAATAAATAAATAAAAATATAACTGGTCATGCCTTATCCTAATAGCTTTACAGGCTAAATCTCAAACAGATAGTATAGCAGGACACACGTAGAGAAAGATAATAATTGAATAGGAATTGACTGATACAATTACGAACATCAATTAGTATTCCCCTTCTAATGCTCATACGGTATTTAAGCAGTCTAAAAATACTTTCAATCGCCTTTTTCAAGCTCAATGTGCTTAGACTGTTAAGCAACAACAACTATGCGTCAGTCCCAAACAAGTTGTGGTCGGTTGTATGAATCCTCACTTCTTTCTTTAAGCTCAACTTGTATCATTATCATACAAAAAAGTGAAAAAGAAGTTGAGTACATATATACATATATATATATACATATATATATATAAAATAGTAATAATAAAAATGATGAGATTAGAAGTTCTCTAACAAGTCTAAAACCTATTCCCAACTAGAAGGTATCACATATATTGGTTGTTTTCTTTCACTATGCCCTATCTTTAGCTAAGTGTGCATTAATTAGATTAATTTCTTGTCTTCCAAAACACTTGTCATTTCACTCCCACTTTACGGACAATCTCCAATCATTTCTACTGCAACTCCTTATATGAGAGTACTTACAAAAAGCAAGCCAAGGGATATCTCCTTAAACAATAGCATAGCATAACTCCGCTGTTCCTTTGTTTTATCTGATTCCAGGTCTGAACTTTATTTACTTAGCAAACAGTCATAGGGGGTGGAAATAAAACAGTTATAACTAGATATCTCAACTACTTACTATCCAACATCTCATACTCCATTCGAGGAGGAAAGTCATTTTGAAGAAGTTCGACGGCTGATGGACGGTCAGACGGACTTGGGGTCATTAAGCGCCTTAACAAGGATGCCTGCTCTGGAAATTCGGCAGCCCAAGCAGGAGGAACCTCTCCTTTTTGTTTTAAATCAGAAAGAACAATATGTCGCTCCATTGCAGTGTCAAAAGGATGCCACAACTCGAAGAAAACAACTCCTAAGCTGTACATATCAGCCTGAGGACTACGGAGTCAGAATCAAACTAGCATAGAAGAACTTTTTGTTGTGATCAAGCAAAACACTGAAAGTAACAAAATGCTACCTTCTCATTGATCTTGGGCCACCTTTGTTCTATTTCAGGTGCAGTATAGAAATATGTACCAACTTGGCCAGTTCCATCAACAGAAACTCCTATCATCTCGGCAGCATCTACATCCTGGTCCAGCTGCTCTAGTTTCAAGAATTTGGCTGAAATTTTCAATTATAAATACGCCATATGTTCAAATTCAGGTTCCTTCAACCAGGCCAAACAGAGGAAAGCATCCCGCATTCATGCAGCCCGTTCACAAAATAATCCAGAATATAAATTAAAACAATAATGACATCGTTAATTTATCTTACATACTGAACATAAAAGACACCCGCTATACATGGCAAAAGATAACCAGGACACTGTAGGAAAAAATATATTCTATGTTCAAACATGGATTTTCGAATTAGGAGAAAAGTTAGTTGTATCTCCCAGTGATTGAAAAGTAGCTTTACATCCATGTTCAAACACCCTCTATACATGGCAAAAGATAACCAGGACACTGTAGGAAAAATATATTCCAAGTTCAAACATGGATTTTTGAATTAGGAGAAAAGTTAGTTGTATCTCCCAGTGATCGAAAAGTAGCTTTACATCCATTTATAATCATATGTGAACATGTATAAAGTGCAAAGCTCCCAATGCCTTATATTCTAGAAAATTTCAGGCTTTCCCCTTGGGATCTGAGAATAAAGAACAAAAACAAAACCTGGACACTCTTCACTTTACTCACATGTTTGCACACAAATTTCTATCAGTCCTTTTGGCTTCTTCAGCTTGGACAGTAAGAGTTTCCCCAGAGAAATTTTTTATTTCCCAGTCAATCTTACATAAGACATGATTGTAAGTGTATTAACTGGTGCCAATGAAAAGTGATAATACATTATCGGGTTGCTCAGTGATTAAAAATATCCGCTTAATCCTTGTATCATATTTCTAGTTCTGTAATGCACTGCTTTAGGAAATTCCTTTTGTTTCTTGATTAAAGAGGATAGATGCTTCAACCATTGCCGTACATAACATGACAGCAAAAGATAAATACCTCAGTAAAGACAAAAGAGAAACACTTTTACAAGTTAAGAATATGAAGCAAATTCTTACCTAGACCAAAATCCCCGATTTTAATGTCATTGCGAGCGTCAAAAAATATATTATTAGGTGTCAAGTCACGATGAATAATGCCTTGTCCATGGATATGTGCCAAGCCTTCTACAATTTGGCGGAATAAATGCCATGCAAGTTCCTTGTCTAAATTGCTATATGATTCAAACATTTGACGGAGCGTCCTTCAAAAACATAAATAAAGTCAGTTCGTTCTGGTTGGGGCGAAAAGAATGAGGACGGGTGGAGAGAAAGAAAAAAGAAGTAGAGTAATAGTTATTTCCCTTGTTTGCTAAGGAGAAAATAAGGGAGAAAGATAACTAAAGATGCGGTTTTTTCAGCCCCTTCAACGTTGAATAAGGAGGAATTATATTTACTACCTATCCAGCCACAGAAAAAAATCGGGCATAAATGATAAATATTTCAGTGGAGTAAATCAATGAATTTCTCCCTCCCCTTCATGTTATCAAATATAGTACTGGATTAAAAAATCAAACTTATTACGTTGACTTTCGAATTTCAATATTGCCAGCATTATATTGAAGGCTAAAATTATCAGAAAACTACACTGTCGGAGGAAGAAGATGTTAGATAATTATGTGAATATATATATATATATATATATATATATATATATATATATATATATATATATATATATATATATACATATATATAGTCCTAGTCCCGTATGTAATAGGAGCAAGTTACGTATTATGTATACTTATAAATAGGGCTCAGTATAACATGGTTAAAACATCAATAACATTTTTCCAGTGTATTATTTCTCACATGGTATCAGAGCGGCAGAGAAAACATCCGGGAAAGAAAACCCAACCAAAAACAGTCGTCATGCTTCAATTCCGGCGACCTTTTTAGGCCTGATATGTGTTCCCTTCTTTTTCCTTGGTGTTGTGCAAAATCCAACACCACCACAAGGTTTCCAAGAGAGAAGCGACCAAACCCCAGAAAAATTCTTCGGAAAATACCCATTCACGTGCCTGTAAGATATCTGCTTCCGGCGGCGAGTATGCCCATGCGCCGGCGCGTGAGGCCTGTTCCGGCCAAATTTTGAAAAACTTTCTGTAGGACAGTGTGATCACCTTGCAATTTTGAGCTTACCCATCCTATTTAAACCAAATTCCGACCACATTTATATTTTTCCGATGTGAACAGTAATTTTTCCGGAGTGAACAGTGATTTCCACAAAATTTTCTAATTTTTCCGGCGTGAACATTATAGAAGCCTTTGACTCACAATCCGTTGGATCCAATGCATTGAATCCAATCAAGATGGTTTCTTTATCGGAAAATATAGAGTTTCTTCGGTACAAAGCATGTAAACAGACATCATTTGAGAGTGCTACTTATGTTCAACCAGGTAATAGCGTTATTTGTGTCTCGCAATCATCTTCTCCCAGTGATTGGGTTATTGATTCAGGAGCTTCTGATCATATTTCTAGTAATAAATCTGCTTTCACTACTATTTCCTATTTTCAATCTCTTCCAACGGTCACAATGGCCAATTAGTCTCAAACCGTGGGAACCGAAATAGGTCAACCAAGTTCATTTCCTTCTTTACCTTTGAATTCAGTTCTTTATGTTCCCGATAGTCCTTTTAATCTCATATCGGTGAGTAGCTTAGACAAGTCACTTAAATGTTCTGTTTTATTTCTTGATGACCTTGTTTTTATACCGGAACACAGTACGGTACGGATCATTGGTATCGGACGTGAATCAAATGGACTTTATTGCCTTATCCTTACTAAATCAAATGAACCCACATCAACAGCTTGTTCTGTTACTGATTCACCAGATTTATTACATAAATGGTTACGACATCCCAATTTATCAAAATTTAAGAAAATAGTACCTGGTTTGTCTCACTTGTCTACTCTAGAGTGTGAGTCATGCCAGCTCAATAAGCATAGTCGCTCCCATTTCCCTCGGCATCGTGATAATTGAGCAGAGTCACATATCACTTTAGTCCATTCAGATGTTTGGGGTCCTAGTCGGGTCAATTTCATCTTGGGATTCTGCTAATTTGCTAGTTTCATTGTTGATTATTCCAGGTGCACTTGGATATTCTTGATGAAAAATCGATCTGAATTATTTTCTATTTTCAAAGCTTCCACGCTGAAATCCAAAATCAATTTGGGGGTTTCTATCCGCACATTCTTTTGTGATAATGCCTCAAAGTATTTGTCTTCTCCATTTTAGCAGTTTATGAACTCTAATGAGATCATTCATCAAACATCTAGTCCATACACATCTCTAACAAAATGGGGTGGCGGAAAGGATGAATGGGCATGTCATAGAGACTGCTCGTACCCTACTGATACAATCTCAGGTTCCGTTGCATTTTTTGGGAGGATGCAATTCTCACACCTTGTTATCTTATTAATCGTATGTCATCCTCAACTATCCAGAATCAAGTTCCATTCTTTGTGTTGTTTCCTCACTCACCCTTGTTCTCTCTTCCACCTCGTGTCTATAGGAGCACATGTTTTATTTATAACCTTACTCTAGGAAAAGATAAGTTAGCTCCCCGAGCTCTTAAGTGTGTATTTCTAGGTTACTCGAGAGCGCAAAAGGGGTATCGATGCTACTCACCTGACCTCCAATGGTGTCTTATGTCTGCTGATATAACCTTCTTTGAAACTCATCCACACTTCACATGCCTAGGTGGACATTTAGACATTTCTGAGGTGCTACCAGTTTCATCTTTTGGAGATTCAATTACTATTTCCCCTTCACCTTCCTCCACAGCTCCATCACCTAATGCCCCAACTCTTGCTCTAGCTCTAGCTCCAACCCCACCACTTATAGCTCCTCCTACATTCTCAACCACAACCGTTGAGGAATCTAGTGGCTCCTCCTAGATCCCCAGCCATAGGAACACCACTCTTGACTTATCGTCATCATCCGCTTCCAGCATCAGGCCCAGCTGATTCACGTCCTGCACCTGACCCTACTCCTACTGCGGACTTGTCTCTTCTTCGTCCATCGATTGCATTTCGAAAATGTATACGGTCCACACTTAATCCTAATCCACATTATGTCGGTTTAAGTTATCATCGTCTGTTATCACTGCATAATGCTTTTGTTCTTTCTTTGTCCTCTGTTTCATCCCTTTCATCCCTAACTCTACAGGTGAAACACTATCTCATCCAGGACGGCGAGTGACGAGATGTCTGTTTTACATACGAGTGGTATTAGGGAGACTGTTCCTCTTCCTTCAGGTAAATCTATTGTTAGTTGTCGTCGGGTTTATACAGTCAAAGTTGGTCCGGATGGCCAGGTTGATAGACATAAGGCCCGTCTTGTTGCCAAAGGATATACTCAGATATTTGGGCTCGATTACTATGATACTTCTCTCCCATGGCTATTCTTCGCCATTGGCCTCTCTATCAGTTGGACATTAAAAATGTTTTTCTTTACGGTGACCTCGAGGATGAAGTTTATATGGAGCAACCACTTGGTTCTGTTGCTCAAGAGGAGTGAAGTGGCCTTGTATGTCGCTTGTGCCAGTCACTTTATGGTCTAAAGCAGTCTTCTCAAGCCTGGTTTGGTAAGTTCACACAGTTATCCAGGAGTTTGGCATGACTTGTAGTGAAGCTAATCACTCTGTGTTTTATCGGCATTCTGTTTCAATTCTCTATATTTATCTGGTTGTTTATGTTTACAATATTGTTATTACCGGCAATGGTCAAGAAAGTATTACTAAGTTGAAGCAACATCTCTTTGAGCACTTTCAGGCTACAGATCTGGGCAGCCTAAAGTATTTTCTAGTATTGAGGTCACTCAGTCTAGCTCAGGTATTGTGATCTCATAACGGAAGTATGCCTAAGACATTCTCGAGAGAGACAGGAATAATAGGTTGAAGACCTGTTAACACTCCAATGGATCCGAATTCTAAACTTCTGACAAGGACAGGGGGAGCCGTTCAGAAATCCGCAAGATATAAGTGGCTGGTTGGTAAATTAAATTACCTCACAGTGACTAGACTAGACATTTTCTTTCCTGTGAGTGTTCTGAGTCAGTTTGTGGATTCTCCCTGTGATAGTCATTGGATGCAGTTGTCCGCATTCTTTGATATATAAAATTAGTTATTGTTTGAGGATCGAGGCCATGAGCAGATCGTTGGATACTCAGATACTGATTAGGCAAGATCACCTTCTGATGGAAGTTCAATGCCAGGATATTGTGTCTTAGTAGGAGGTAATTTGGTGTCTTGGAAGAGCAAGAAACAGAATGTGGTTGCTCGGTCTAGTGCAAAAGCAGAATATCGAGTAATGGTTGTGGTAACATGTGAGCTAATTTGGATCAAACAGTTGCTCAAGGAGTTAAAATTAGGTAAGATCAGCCAGATAGAACTTATTTGTGATAATCAAGTTGATATTCATATTGCATCAAATCCAGTGTTCTATGAGAAAATTAAACACATTGAGATTGACTGTCACTTTGTCAGAAAAAAGATACTCTCGTGAGATATTGCAAAAAAGTTTGTGAAGTAGAATGATCAGCTTGTAGACATTTTCACCAAGTCTCTCACTGGTCCTCGTATTAGTTATATATGTAACAAGCTCGGTACATATGATTTATATACACCAGCTTGAGGAGGAGCTTTAGATAGTTATATGAATATATATAATTAGTCCTAGTCCTATATGTTATAGGAGTAGGTTATGTATTATGTATACTTATAAATAGGGCTCAGTGTAACCTAGTTAAAACATCAATAATATTTTTCCTGTGTATTATTTCTCATAGAAGACTTATCAAGGGATGAGTGAAATGGGCAACTGCGGATATCACTGGCAGCACAAGAAGTGAGTTGGAAGAAAATTTTGAGATTGAGGATGTAGAAAAAAGACAAAAATACAGGACTTTAGATTGAGAGAATCGAATAGCTATGCTCAATATCAATTGCTTCAAATGAATGGTTGATTTATTTCAGATATAGAAAATGCTGGCAAGGTGTAGGTGTTCTGGAATGGTTCATTCCTAGAACATCTTACTCATTTCAATATCCATAAGGATATAGCTAGTGGATAGGTAAGACAAATTCAATTAGCATACATCTATCCATTTGAATAAGAACTAACACAATAATCCATGTCATTAAAATTAAGTAGGCAGATAATGCACGTATAATAAATTAACAAGTAAGGTTCTGATCCTAC